AGCAAGTTGCTTGTAAAAAAATTGTTATTGGAAATTTTTTGCTGAGCTCAGCAAATTTCCAATAGAACTAAAATATGGAAATGTTTAAAATGCCAAAAAGTAAAGTATACCTTTAGGCTGCTATATATAGCGGTTTACTTATAAATTCAACACTTCTACCACGACTTCAATCACCTTAGCAGTTTTCACAACCATTTAACCGAGAAACAAAACTTCTTAATATAACAGGCGCCACCTAAAGCCAATAAACAATAACAGCAGATGTTAAAACCATTTGGGAAATAGTAGTTGTCTTAGCTAAGTTACTAAATGACAAGAACAAGAGAAACTTGTAAAGTATACACTGATATAAAACATTACTAGGAATAGTGTAATGTTAAAATCAAAATATAATTTAAACAAATATTTTCAATATTATGAGGTAGTATTCAAAATAGGACAAATTCGTTAAGATTAAAATTAAATACATTTTTTTGGATTGATTTAAAAAAATATAGATTAGTGTTGATCCCTTTCTCTTTTTAAATTCAGATTTATTATCTCATATTCTCCTAATGCAACATCTAACTCAAAGATTAAGAAATCCTGTTGACAAATCACTTGCTTGTCCACCTGAATTCCTTTTCACTTCACCTTCAGAGTTCTTGATTTAAACAGTATTTAATCTCTAACTAATGATTTTTAAATTATACTAAATATTCGACCTTGACATACACAAAAACTAATTTGTTTTATTTCAATTAGAAGGTCTTTCGTTATATAAAATAAGTTATTTAGAATGTATGTAGAATTTTACACTCCTAAATATCTATACAAACACACACACACACACACACTACTTGTATTTGAAAAAAAAATCTACAAAAATCCAAATAGAAAACAATTAACAGGTACAGATACAGAGCTATATTCTCATATACGTACGTTAGTATATACTAATAAACAGGTAATATTTCTCTTCTTCTCAAACTAGATTGCAATTTCTTTCAATTCCAACGACTTTTTGAAAAAATAGGGGTTGTTGGAGATTATAACTATGTGATGTTTTCTAAATTGTGAGTTATTTTTGAGCAACATGATTTGTTCTGTGTTAAAAACTCACCCTTCCACAGTTAGTCACCCTTAGACATCTAATCTTATGCCTTTAAAGATCAGTGACCCTATAGGTTTGGCTGCACGGACCGGTCTCAGAATATCCACAGTTTTTTCGTTGTTATTTTAAATATAGGTCTATATACTATAAATTTCTGTAATTTTTGCTAAATAAGACCGCCAACTGAATAATATTTAGATGTGGTTCAACGGGAGTGTCCAAATATGACCTTTGACCTCCACTGTTTATGATTTTAGATTAGAAAAGGTTTTCGTCATCTTATAGGGATAAAAACTCATATTCGAGTAATTATAGACCGCTATAGTGGGGGAAGGTATTATGCGTTTGTAACACCCAAAAATATTGGTCCTACACCACTTTAAAGTATACCAATCGGCTTAGAATCACTTTCTAAGTCGATTATGTCCGTCCGTCTGTCTGTCTGTCTGTCTGTGCAAACCTTATGCGTACGCTACAGGTCTTAATTTTCAAGGATAATTTGATGATAATTTGGCACATAATATTTTTTCGACCCAGGGACGAAGCCTATTGAAAATGAGCCCTCCCGAATAGGGCTTTTGAGCTCATAATTATGTCAAATGTTCTAATATCACTTCAAAAATCGGTTAAACTTAGTTGTAAATAAGTCTTAATGATACTACCGCTTTTCGTTATGATCAGACCTCATTTGACCCCCATATCCCCCATACAAAATCCCCTTCAGAAAATGACTTGATGGTCAAAATTCACTTATAAACACAAATGTCACGATAATATTCTGCATAAATAACTTATATAGACGTAAATCCCTCTACAAAAATGTATAAGAATAGGGCCATATTAGCCCCCTGCCACCATATAACCCCTCTTTTAGAACATCTCTTTTTTGTCAACAAATTGTTAAAATATTCCTGAATTAAGGAAAAAAAATCATCAAAATTTTTAACATAATCACTGGTTGGCCATGAACGACTATAAATTCTTACTTGTTTTTTATTATATTCGGTTTTCAAGTGCCCTGAGACTTGTTAGGAATCTGGGGAATTTTCAATAACTCTAAAATTTTTCTAGCAATGTTTGTGTTTTATATCTATTTGATATTCATCTTAATCCGTTCATCCAATTCTATAAAGTTTTGCTCATAATTCTATTTGTACAGTTAGAATACGAACCATCATACTAACTTCGGATCATTCTAAAGCGGTTTCTTGTAACCATCTCGTTAGGTACAACGCATAAGATCTTTTAGGTTGTACCTACACCTTATTATTCCTTATTCTAAGTGCCCGTTTTCTCTTACCATGTTGTAAATCAGCTCCACTTGCGGCTAACGGGTTTCCTTCACTTTATCGCTCTTTCGTTGCCGATTATATCCGAGTGAGTGCATAGATCACTTTTGGAATAGTATTATGTCCAATATATCGTTTATTTCGAATCCTGGCTTTTCAATGTATTTCTCTCAATTTACAGAGCAATGAATTCCTCCGATTATTGGCTCTAATCTAGGTTTAGTAACTCAAAGTTCGTGACAAATTCTATCTCTGATATGACATCAGTCATGTCCGATGTTCGCGTACCAATAACCAGCTAAGGTCAACTATTGGATTTGTACTGATGTTCGCAATACACATGCGCACGCAACAGGTCGCAATTTTAAAGATAATTTGATGAAAATTGGCAAAAGAACGAAACCTATTGAAAATGATTAAAATCGGCCAAATATTCCACCTAGCCCCTATACAATTGTATCCCCCGAATAGTGCTCTTGAGCTCATAATTATGTTAAATGTTCTAGTATCTCCACAAATATCGTTAGAACTTAGTTTTGAACTTTAATGTAAACCTAAATCACTGTACTAACATTAATAAGGAATAGGTCCATATTTACGCTTACCCACTGAATGACACATCTTTCAGAAAATCACTTCTTTAAATTGTTAAAGTATTGTAAAAAACCCTATTGATTTTGGTTAAAACTGGTCCTTTTTATACCCTACACTATGAAGCTATGTCTGTCCGTCCGTCCGTCAGGCTGGCTGTCCATGTAAACCTTGTGCGCAAGGTACAGGTCGCAATTTTCAAGATAATTGGATGTTTTATTTCACCCAAGGACGAAGCCTATTGAAAATGGTTAAAATCGGTCCACTATTTCACCTAGCCCCCATAGAACAGAGCCCCCCGAAAAGAGCTTCTGAGCTCATAATTATGTTAAATATACAGATATATCGATAAAATACGGCAAAACTCAGTTTTATAGAAGTCTTGATGACCCTGCCAAATTTCATAAAGATCGGGCCCCATTTGACCCTAGCTCCCATACAAAGTCCCCTTCAGAAATTACTTGAATGTCCCAAATTAACTTATAAACACAAATAGCGCGATGAAATTCAGCACAATAAAATATTATGTAAATATAAATATATTCACAAAATTTTATAGGGCTTGGTCCAAATTTGCCCCTAGCCCCCATATAAAGCCTCTTTCAGAAAATTAGTTTTTCATCCATAAATTGCTTAAATGTATCGGAACAAGGAATATTGAAGATAAATGCATTATTATGAAAAATAAATCACATTTAATATTCATAACTGGTGTAGGGTATCATATGGTCGGCCTCGCCCGACAATACTTTCTTACTTGTTTGATTTAGTCCCCAATACAACCGGTTCTCTGAAATAGGTCATTAAAGCTCATAATTACGTCAAAGTTCGTAATGATCGTGCCTCATATAAAGTCCCCCTCTGGAATGTCGTTAATTCTCTCATAAACAATTCATATTACAATGAAATTGTTCCTTTTTAACTGTACAATACTGTACATGACTAAATAATTATCTTATCAATAGTGCCTTACTTCTCAGTTTTCAACTACTTCAAGTTTTTTATATTTTTTTTACAGTGTATATACTTTCCATAGCCCGTATCTTGAAAGCTTTTGACATAATCTTATTGCAGCAGCAACAACAACAGCATACAATGACCTAAATATTTTAAACTAAAGCTTTGTGATCTAGTTGGAGTTTAATGGCGTCATCCATATACAGAAAAAACCACCACAAAAACTAATCGAAAACTATAGAGGGTTATAATAGGTATAAAGAAAAACAAACAGCAGCTGGTCTACCAAGTTTCCAAGACTAACGCCAACACTAGCAAACACACAGAGACAACAAAGACCATATCAAAAACAGATAACAACAACGCACAGAGCAAGGGCCTTAGAAAAAGAGAGAGGGAAAGAGACAAATATGCTTAGACAAGATAATTTATACTACGACGGCTATACATGTCATGGGCCATTTGTTCGAAATGAGAGTTAAAAACTTTTAAATTTTCGAAACGCAAAAATCTACCTTACAATGCTTTCATATAGATGATAATGATGATGGCTGGTTAATTTTTAATCCCCCCCTTTTAAATGGTTATAGTAATAACAAAGCGATCGACAGCAACAACAACCATGACGACGATCTTCATGATGTTAATGACGACCGCAACCACGGAAAGCTGAAATAAAACCACTTGTTGAACTTTCATTCTATATAAGAAGAGGAAAACAACAACAAAAACGCAAATTGAAATATAGAAATAACTAAAGCAAGCAAGTCTGTATACAGAGACACAAAGTCTTGTTGTCGTCCCTGGACTTTCCATAGAGTTGATAAAACGCTTTAAAAGCTTTTTAGATTTTTGTTCATACAAACGAAAGATCACCGTACAAAGTCGAACTTTAGTTGTTTATTTTATAATGATGATGACAACAATGATCGTGAGCCGAGCGAGCTAGCGTAGGCCTTAGAGAGCACAGGCCACAGAGCGAAGACCGATCGAATGAGTGATCGTTAAAAACGACTACAACTACTATGTGAGTAAGAAAGACAAACGCATTAACGTTGATTATTAGTCTCTGGCTGTTGTTAACTGGAAAAGGTTGTGTTTTTACTTAGCTGCTGCTGGTAGTGCTGACGCTGTCGTTGCCTCCAGTATTTTATACACTCTTACTTTAGACGTAGCCGTGTGATCGTGTTCAAAATTAACTGACGTCTTCTAACATCTAATAGTCATATCAAGCGTACATAGTAGTACCAAACAACTGTCATTTTATTCATTCGTTCGTACGTACGTTGTTTTTGCATTTGTATTCAAGAATATCTAGTTGTTGTTGTTGTTGTTGTTTTGACGACAGCAATCGCAGTGAAAAGTGTTTATTTTACTTGTAGTCTCTTGTGTATAAATTGAGTTTGAGTCAATTACAACAATATGGAAGCGAATTATACGCCGCACATTTATAATGAATACAAAACACGCAATATTTTAAGTCTGGCCGATCGTGTCGAAGTCATACGCGAATACGATAGTCATCTAACACGACCGAGTCTTCAAAGCTTGGCCCAGAAATTCGAATGTAGTTCGAAACAAATTAAAAATATTCTTTTAAATCGTGAAACAATTTTACAGCAATACAATAGCGGTGAAACGGGTCCACAAAAAGAATCACCCGGTCGTGATGATGGCTTACAAAAGAGACAAGAAAAGATTGCCTTTCTGGGTAAAGTTATGTATGAATACATACAAAGAGTATTATACTACAACTATAACATTGATGATGAGAAAGTGAGACAGAAAGCTTTACAGATTAAAGAATGTATAGCAGTGGAAAATTTCCAGCCCACCTATGCCTGGTTGGAGAATTTTAAAATGACTTATGGTATACCTGCCTTTGATTTACAATCATTGCGCAATAATATCGTGATAACAGAAACTAAGCGTCCACATTTAAGTGCCATTGATATGATACAATATGTCAGTCGCATGGAACAGGAGGAACAAGAGCAGAATCGTAGTAAATCCTTTACAAAACCCGATATCAATGGTAATGGTCGTTTAAGTTTAGGCAACAACAAAAACCACAGCCACAACAACAACAACAATCAACTTAATGGTCTAGAACCCAAGATTATCTATGAAATTGAAGATGAAGAACAGGATGAGGAGTTGCAAAAATTAAATTTCTCCGATTCACCACCCAAAGCTTCTATACAAAACAATTCTTCATCTCCTGCTATAAAATATACCACCAAACGACGAGCTTCTTCTCCATTTCCCGATATTGAATCTGTGGATGGGGCTCTTAAACATATCAAAGCTTTAGAGGAATATGCCATGCTACATGATAACTTTAGAGCTATAGGTTTATTAACGCAATTGGAGCAGATTTTCAAGAAACAAATGAAAAAGGATTGAAGTTTTTCCTCTCTATATAATTTCCTTAAACAAAAACACATTGTTTTAAATGTGTTTTTGTTGTTTATAATTTAAACATTCCTTGGATTTTTTAAAAATTATTTATATTTAGAATTAGATTATAGTTTTTTTAATTAATTTTTAGTCATTTTAATGTATAAGCATGTAAATATAAATTTTTGAAATAAAATGGACTTACCTATTTGCCCGAAAGTGTAAACTGTAAGTAGAAAAATAATAATTGGATATATTATACTGATTTTAAATTAAAAAAAATTAGGAAAGTATTTCTAATAGATTCTATATAAATTCTAAGTTTATTTTATATAAAATTATATAAACTAAATAATTTATAAGTGCTAGCTAGTTATCGTCTACAAGGAAAAGTGTATGTGTCATTATAATTTCCCGGTACTTAGGGTGAAGAACATATGTATGAGTCACAATTTCGTCTACAAACTGTATATATGTATGTATATTTTGAATTGTTAATGAACTTATCAAACTATTATGTGGGGTTGCTGTAGACTATTGACTAGACTAGAGACTAGACTAGAGACTAGACTGTAGACTAGACTATAGACTAGACTATAGACCAGACTATAGACTAGACTATAGACTAGACTATAGACCAGACTATAGACTAGACTATAGACTAGACTATAGACTAGACTATAGACTAGACTATAGACTAACTAGACTAGACTATAGACTAACTATAGACTAGACTATAGCTAGACTATAGACTAGACTATAGACTAGACTAGACTATAGACTAGACTATAGCTAGACTATAGCCTAGACTATAGCCTAGACTATAGACTAGACTATAGACTAGACTATAGACTAGACTATAGACTAGACTATAGACTAGACTATAGACTAGACTATAGACTAGACTATCGACTAGACTATAGACTAGACTATAGACTAGACTATAGACTAGACTATAGACTAAATTATAGACTAGATTATAGACTAGACTATAGACTAAATTATAGACTAGATTATAGACTAGACTATAGACTAGACTATAGACTAGACTATAGACTAGACTATAGACTAGACTATAGACTAGACTATAGACTAGACTATAGACTAGACTATAGATAGACTATAGAACTATAGACTAGACTATAGACTAGACTATAGACTAGACTATAGACTAGACTATAGACTAGACTATTAGACTAGACTATAGACTAGACTATAGACTAGACTATAGACTAGACCTATAGACTAGACTATAGGACTAGACTATAGACTAGACTATAGACTAGACTATAGACTAGACTATAGACTAGACTATAGACTAGACTATAGACTAGACTATAGACTAGACTATAGACTAGACTATAGACTAGACTATAGACTAGACTATAGACTAGACTATAGACTAGACTATAGACTAGACTATAGACTAGACTATAGACTAGACTATAGACTAGACTAATAGACTAGACTATAGACTAGACTATAGACTAGACTATAGACTAGACTATAGACTAGACTATAGACTAGACTATAGACTAGACTATAGACTAGACTATAGACTAGACTATAGACTAGACTATAGACTATACTATAGACTAGACTATAGACTAGACTATAGACTAGACTATAGACTAGACTATAGACTAGACTATAGACTAGACTATTGACTAGACTATAGACTAAACTATAGACTAGACTATATAGACTAGACTATAGACTAGACTATAGACTAGACTATAGACTAGACTAGACTATAGACTAGACTAGACTATAGACTAGACTATAGACTAAACTATAGACTAGACTATAGACTAAACTATAGACTAGACTAGACTACAGACTAAACTATAGACAAGACTATTATGCGGGGTTTGCTGTAGACTATCGACCTACCTACCTACCTACCTACCATTGACTAGACTATAGACTAGACTATAGACTAGACTATTGACTAGACTATAGACTAAACTATAGACTAAAACTATAGACTAGACTATAGACTAGACTATAGACTAGACTAGACTATAGACTAGACTATAGACTAGACTATAGACTAGACTATAGACTAGACTATAGACTAAACTATAGGACTAGACTATAGACTAAACTATAGACTAGACTATAGACTAGACTATAGACTAGACTATAGACTAGACTATAGACTAGACTATAGACTAGACTATAGACTAGACTATAGACTAGGACTATAGACTAGACTATAGACTAGACTATAGACTAGACTATAGACTAGACTATACATAGACTAGAATAGACTAGACTATAGACTAGACTATAGACTAGATTATAGACTAGACTTTAGACTATACTATAGACTATACTAGACTATAGTTCACTGTTATATCGTTTTTACAATATTACATAGTCTAGTCATAGTCTAGACTAGAGAATAGACTTTAGACTAGACTATGTAATATTATAATAACGATATAATAGTGAAACACACCCCACATTGCTCAAGTAAATCAATTAAGTCCATAGATTAGTAAATAGAACAGTTCAAAGTCTAGTCCATATATATAGGTAACCAATCTGATTAAAAAAATTAAAAGTACTCTCACCTAAAACAGCTTTTTATCATAAAAGTTAGTAATTCAAAATTTTAATTTCCCATATCTGAAGACATAACAAGAGAGAGAGAGAGAGAGAGGAAAATGTATTTCCAGTTTTAAAAAGATAGCCGTGTTCGGTTTCTTCTATGACAACTTGTCATTGTCAAGTACTTTAATATTAATTTTAACGTTCGGGTTTATTTTAGCTCTTCTATATAAAAGCAATTCACAACTTTGATAAACTTATAAAAGCTTTTAAAACCTCATTCTCACATTATCATGATCACTATGAAATCAACTTATTTGAACTTTTAAATCAAAGACCTTAAAAACTACAACAATCAAACTTAACATTATCTGTAAAATGATTATACAGATAATGTTATACTATAATCCATAAAACCTATATACCTACCTATTATTTGCACTATATTTAGAGAATTAAAGAACACAGGAAGAAAAATTTATATGAATGAAGATTTAGTCAAATATTTCAACTTCGAATAAAATAGCTAAATGGGGGCGTAGAGGGACTAAAACACACACACTAAAATGTAAAAAAATGCATATTTAGCTTATTTGTAGTTCATTTAAATTTTTAGAGAATGCTTAGCTGATAATACGACAAAACGAATTGATTATTTTATTTTTTTTTTTACCATACAAGTAAAAAAATATAGAATTAAAATGTGGTTGGCCTCAATTGTGAGAGTATTTTAGGTTAAAAATGAGAGTGCTAAAATAACGCGGTAAAAGAGTACAACAGATATTTCTCTCTTTTCGCAAACAATAATATCTCTTTGCTGGCTAACGTGTCTCAGTTGTAGTTTAGCTTTGATAGCAAAAACATCATATTTCTTTTGTGTACAGTGAAAATTAAATGTTTATTGTTTCTTTTGAAGTGAAAATAGAAAATGTATTATTTTTTATACAAACACACAGTATACAAAATATAAAAGAGGTATGTGTTTGTAAAATATTGAATTGGGTGGTGTGAGTGTATTCGGTGGAATGTTGAAACGTCACAAAAATGATTACACATAACTTGGTTGCACATGACTAGTGATTGTTGGCAAGAGGGGGATGATAATACTTATTTGGTACCTTTTTTTTGGGGGGAGAATTATAAAAAAGGAATATTTTGAAGAAATAACATTAAAAAGGAAAATAGTTAAAAATTTAATATTATAAATTCAAAATTTATATATTTAGTTAGTTAGTTAGTTAGTTAGTTAGTTAGTTAGTTAGTTAGTTAGTTAGTTAGTTAGTTAGTTAGTTAGTTAGTTAGTTAGTTAGTTAGTTAGTTAGTTAGTAGTTAGTAGTTAGTTAGTTAGTTAGTTAGTTAGTTAGTTAGTTAGTTAGTTAGTTAGTAGTTAGTTAGTTAGTTAGTTAGTTAGTTAGTTAGTTAGTTAGTTAGTTAGTTAGTTAGTTAGTTAGTTAGTTAGTTAGTTAGTTAGTTAGTTAGTAGTTAGTTAGTTAGTAGTTAGTTAGTTAGTTAGTTAGTTAGTTAGTTAGTTAGTTAGTTAGTTAGTTAGTTAGTTAGTTAGTTAGTAGTTAGTTAGTTAGTTAGTTAGTTAGTTAGTTAGTTAGTTAGTTAGTTAGTTAGTTAGTTAGTTAGTTAGTTAGTTAGTTAGTTAGTTAGTAGTTAGTTAGTTAGTTAGTTAGTTAGTTAGTTAGTTAGTTAGTTAGTTAGTTAGTTAGTTAGTAGTTAGTTAGTTAGTTAGTTAGTTAGTTAGTTAGTTAGTTAGTTAGTTAGTTAGTTAGTTAGTTAGTTAGTTAGTTAGTTAGTTAGTTAGTTAGTTAGTTAGTTAGTTAGTTAGTTAGTTAGTTAGTTAGTAGTTAGTTAGTTAGTTAGTTAGTTAGTTAGTTAGTTAGTTAGTTAGTTAGTTAGTTAGTTAGTTAGTTAGTTAGTTAGTTAGTTAGTTAGTTAGTTAGTTAGTTAGTTAGTTAGTTAGTTAGTTAGTTAGTTAGTTAGTTAGTTAGTTAGTTAGTTAGTTAGTTAGTAGTAGTTAGTTAGTTAGTTAGTTAGTTAGTTAGTTAGTTAGTTAGTTAGTTAGTTAGTTAGTTAGTTAGTTAGTTAGTTAGTTAGTAGTTAGTTAGTAGTTAGTTAGTTAGTTAGTTAGTTAGTTAGTTAGTTAGTTAGTTAGTTAGTTAGTTAGTTAGTTAGTTAGTTAGTTAGTTAGTTAGTTAGTTAGTTAGTTAGTTAGTTAGTTAGTTAGTTAGTTAGTTAGTTAGTTAGTTAGTTAGTTAGTTAGTTAGTTAGTTAGTTAGTTAGTTAGTTAGTTAGTTAGTTAGTTAGTTAGTTAGTTAGTTAGTTAGTTAGTTAGTTAGTTAGTTAGTTAGTTAGTTAGTTAGTTAGTTAGTTAGTTAGTTAGTAGTTAGTTAGTTAGTTAGTTAGTTAGTTAGTTAGTTAGTTAGTTAGTTAGTTAGTTAGTTAGTTAGTTAGTTAGTTAGTTAGTTAGTAGTTAGTTAGTTAGTTAGTTAGTTAGTTAGTTAGTTAGTTAGTTAGTTAGTAGTTAGTTAGTTAGTTAGTTAGTTAGTTAGTTAGTTAGTTAGTTAGTTAGTTAGTTAGTTAGTTAGTTAGTTAGTTAGTTAGTTAGTTAGTTAGTTAGTTAGTTAGTTAGTTAGTTAGTTAGTTAGTTAGTTAGTTAGTTAGTTAGTAGTTAGTTAGTTAGTTAGTTAGTTAGTAGTAGTTAGTTAGTTAGTTAGTTAGTTAGTTAGTTAGTTAGTTAGTTAGTTAGTTAGTTAGTTAGTTAGTTAGTTAGTTAGTTAGTTAGTTAGTTAGTTAGTTAGTTAGTTAGTTAGTTAGTTAGTTAGTTAGTTAGTTAGTTAGTTAGTTAGTTAGTTAGTAGTTACCAAATGTCACACTTCAAGAAGTTAAGCTATCAACTTGCAGGTGCTCTTCATTTCATCTACAAAAAGTACTATTTTCCATGTCCCTTGGTACATTTTGCCAAAAAAAATTCATATTTCTCATGCCCAAAATTTGATAACCCAGAATCAAACAAACAAAAACAATTGATAAAAAATGTAAACATAAACAAAAGTAAAATATCAGCAAAACACACTCACACATAAATGCAATAACAACAATTTTGCCGGTCCTGTTATTTTCTCTTACACATCTTCCTTCTCTTCTATTAAAATTGTTGTTGTTATTGTGTTTTTATTTGGGTTTTGTTGTGAGCACGTTTTTCTTATTTACAAAATTATTGTTGTTTTGCATTTTCTTCGTTGATAAAACAGCTGTTGAGCCAAAGCAAAAACAAAGAGCAAAAAGAAAAAAACAAAATGTTATAAAGAACATTTTTTCACACATATTTTTTTCAAGACGTTTGAGGGGTACGTTTTTTGAATTTGTGCAGCCAAGGCAAAATCTTGTATTCCAAAAACTGGTTTTAAACGCTATGCCTTTTTTTAAACATTTTTTTATTAATAACTTTTTTGTTAGCAAGACTTTTTTTATAATTCTAAACTGGTTTTTATTTCTCTTTCTTATTATAGTTTAAAATCTGGTTTTGAAACAACATTTCAAAAGCAGCAACAACAACAACAGCACGATTAACAAACAACATTTAACCAAAGAGGCCGTTTAAACGTTATTTTTTTAAAAAAATAAATTGGCTCTACTTTAGCAGTTTCAACGAGGTTTAATATAGAAAAAGCAGCATCATTTTTTGGAATTTATATAAAACTGGTTTTTTGAAATCGAAACAAGTTTACCCGGTTTTTTCATTTCTGAACTTAATTTACTACTTGAAAGATTTTCTTCACGTTGCTGTGTGCGTGTGTGCTTCTTTTTGCTAACAAGTCCACAACGTAAATTACTGTTGTTGTTAAATTTATTTTTTAATTCTGTTTTTCAACAACTTTGAACAGTTTAGTCGTTGATCTAATATGGCTCAGGTGAGTTTAAAAAAAAAATATATCATACATTTACAGTAAAATTTTATATTTGAAAAAAATGCAAAATGGAAAAAAACAACAAATTTTATTTAAAAATATAATAAAAAGTGTTAAAATCTAATTTTTGAAATAATTATAAAAGTGTAGTCATTGGGTGAAGTTTAACTAACAAGTGCATTAATAATAAGAAAACAATTTGTATTTTTGGCGGTATATTAGGTAAACTAAAAAGATTTGTGACCTTATATGGTGTTTTCATTCTCACAGATTGGTTCCAATTTGCAATTATTTTGTGCAAAGTTATAAAAAAGTGAAAATAGATGCAAGAACCTTTATGATAATGTAACTCCATAACATGTTATCCACAAACCTGCTGATCAGTGATGTCAACTGTCTATTTGCAAAGTTTTTGTAGAAAAGAAGTTTTCACCGAGTCTAAAAGTTCTAAAAAAGTGAAAATAGGTTCAAGAACCTTTAGGATAATGTAACTCCATAACATGTTATCCACTATATTATAAATTTTCTCTCATTAGAGGATATTATCGATAAATTCTTACCGTTAGAGAACATTTTCGATAATTTAGCTTTTTAGAAAACATTTTAAAACATTTTCGATAAAATTTTGATCTTTCAAGAAATTTTTGAAAAGCTCTCGAGAACAAAATTTTATAAATTCTTTCTACAGAAGATTCCTCATAGGGTTCTATAAATCGACTTTCGAATAATCGAACAATCGACTTTTTGTGGAAAAAAGTCGAAGTCGACTATTTTGTTCCAAAAAAGTCGATAACTCGACTATCGTCTGTGAAAAAAGTCGAAAAGTCGACTTTGTTATTAAAAGTCGAAAAAAGTCGATAAGTCGAAAAAAGTCGAAGAAAGTCGAAAAGTCGTAAAAAGTCGAAAAGTCGTAAAAAGTAGAAAAGTCGAAAAAAGTCGAAAACTCGAAAATTGTAGAAAAAAGTCAAAAATAGTCGAAAATTTTAAAGAAGTGGAAAGAAAGTCAAAAACTCTAAAATAGTCGGACAAAACTCGAAAAAAGTCAAAAAATAGTCGAAAATTGTCAAAAAGTCGATAAAAAGAGTAAAGTCGGAAAAAGTCGGAAAAAGTCGAAAAAAGTCGAAAAGTCGATAAAAGTCGAAAAGTCGAAAAAAGTAGAAAAGTCGAGAAGTCGGAAAAAGTCGAAAAGTCGACTATTTATAAAATACTTATAGTCGAAAAGTCTAAAAATCGACTTTTAATTAAATGAAAAAAGTCCAAAAATCGACTTTTCATAAAATGCAAAAGTCGAAAAGTCGACTTTTAACTAAATGAAAAAAGTCGAAAATTCGAAAAGTCGACTTTTCGTTTCAACTATAGAAACCTAATTCCTCAGTCTCTTAATACATTTTCTTTAGAGAATATTTAAAAAACATCAATAAATTCTCTCTTTAAGGAAATTCTCTTTTATATTTACACGATATCATGAATCTCAGATGTGATAATGAAATTTTGACGGATTCGTATTGAGCTTAGCTCAATCCTTTAGAATAGTATACTTTGATCTCTGGGTTAAAAATACAATAACAATTTTCCTTTTACAGAAAGTTTTCTCATTATAGAAAGTTAACGTTTATTTGTTGTTAAATATTTGTCTAATTAATTATATATGTAAATCTGCTAACCTTTTCAACAAATCCTACTCTTTCTCTCATAGGATATAGATTTCGATCACTATATAGATGTCGACAATACCACGGTTAAACCCAGTCCACAACGTGTCCGCAACATATTGACGCTAGAGGAAAAGGTCGCCGTAATTCATGCTTACGATCAACGTCCCATGTATAAGAAGGTAGCGCGTATGTTTAATTGCAGCTGGGAACAAATCAAGAATATCATTTCAAATCGTACCGCCATTATGGAATACTATAATGAAACCAAAATAAAGAGGTCTTCGATGCAGACTATGAATTGCAAATGGATGTAAAACAAAGAAAAATTAAATTTCTGGGTGAATGTGTTTACGAGTGTCTGCAGCGTTTGCAATATTATACAAAATTGCCCATAACCGAGGAATTGATAAGAAATAAAGCTTTGGAATTTCTGGATGTTTTACGTATACCGGGTTTTACACCGACGAAAAAGTGGATGAATTTATTCAAGGCCAGCTATAATATAACATTGTCCAATAAACAAATTTCCATTTATACTAAACCCCAGTATTCGTTGGATATTAAGGATATAGTAACCTATTGTACCAAAGCTAAAGTGGGCAACAAATGTTTGCTAACCAAGTGCAGTACGGATGATGTGAAAAATGTTGAATACGAATCGAAACGTTTGCGTAAGTTGAACTTTTTGCAAGAGGCTCTGAAAGAGTATATGCTTAGAGTGAAATTTCATCATAAGTCAATGAAACTGGATACGACGTCATTGCGTTTAGTAGCTAAAGATTTTAATGAGATATTAAAGGTGCAAGATTTTGAACCCACTGTTGAGTGGATAAATGAGTTTAGAACAGAACACGATAAAGAACTGCAGGATCTGTCAACTATTAAAAGGCCACCTTTGAGTCTGGATCTCAAGGATATCTTAAGTTATTGCAGTCGTATGCAAAACAAAGCTAAAGATACCGTTACCCTAGCCCCAAAAGAAACGGCCTTACAAATGCGTGTTATGCCCAAATATCCAGGGAAAACTATTAACGACTCTGGTTTAAAATTTCAGAAAAATTCCATTATTTATTTAGATGAAGAAGCGGCATTAGGGGAAAAGGATATAAAACCTGATATAGAGGAAATACGTGTGGAGAGACCACAACTAGAACAACCGCCACCTTTGAAAATTCGTAAAATTGAATCGATTAACAATGATCCGGAACTTCAACGTAAATTTCAAACTAATATAGAAATTCGAAAAGTACCCACTCACAGTGTCAGAGAAATGCCAAAAGAACCACCCAAACCACCTTCTAAAACAGTTATTTACATACAAAAAGTTCCTGCTGCTAATGATCCCAAAGAAAATGTTGTACGTTTAACACCTCAACCCCCCAGTGCACCAGTGCAAATAAAAGAAGAAATTCCAGATGACAATAGTTATATATTACCCACCAACACTGTAATAACTCCACCACAATTGCGAATACAAAAAGTGCAACAACAATTCTCTCCCTCCTCTATTTCTCCCCCCTTACCAGCACAACAACCCCAGCCCTTAACTCATAAATCGAATGATTATGAAGGTGAGGAATTACCGCGTCATGTTAATAGTTTTAAAGATGTTCTCTTGCTGCTCAAACCTTTGGAAGAGTATGCCATGCTTAAAGAAAACTATCGTGCTATTGGTTTAATAACCCAACTGGAAGAGGTTTTAAAAAATCCACCCGAAGAGCAGAATGCTGGCGATGAGGAGTTTATAGGTTAATTTTTATATTATATAATATAACTAAAGAAAATTACCTTGTTTTAAATGTAATTTTCATGTAAAGTTTTAACCTTAAAATATTTTTTAATTAGTAGTAAACAAAAGCTTTAAGTTCCTTTATTTACTACGTTATTTTATTTACTATAATTAATAATTAATTAGTTTAGTTATTTAAGAAAACTGCAACTAACCAAAATCTAAAATAAAATTTTGAATTATTAATGTTAAATGAAATGTAGGAGAAGATCATTATAAATACAGGTTATTAAATATTTTCTTAAAAAATATAAATTTTTATAAAAAAGATAAGATTTAATAAATCTAAAACCAATAGATTAGATTAATGGTATACGCACAATTGGGACGAACGACGAATTTCGTATAGCACGACGAACTAGTCGACAAAAATTCGTTGGGGTAAATTCGTCGAATGGAACACAATCAAATTAATCGTACTGCGAATTCGTTTTCAAAATTTATTTGTTCGGAAAAAGTAAGAAAAAGGAACTAAAATTATATTTTTGTGAGTCTCCACGTTTTTGAGATCATTTTTACAGCTTTAAAATTTATTCGAACATTATTTCGAAATTAGAAAATGCAAGAAATTGGCCTCGAAAAGAACTAAAATTATATTTTTGTGAATATCCCCAATTTTGAGATTATTTTAACAGCTTCAAAATTTGTTCGAACATTACTTCAAATTTTCGAACTTAATTTTAAATATTCCAAAATAGCATTGTAGTGTCATCAAGTGTACTCCAGACTGCCAAATTTCAGAAAGTTCGGGCCACGAGAACTGGTTTTAATGGCTTTTTCGAACTTAAGTTCGAATTTTCGAAAATTTTATTTTTAGTTTTTATGACCCAGAGAGCATAAAAATTTTTCGAACATAACTTCGAATTTTCGAATATAATTTCGAATATTCGAACATAATATTGTATTGTCATTAGCTGTACTCGCAACCGCCAAATTTCAGTAAATTCGGGCTACCGGAATTGGTTTTAAAACAATTTTCCCCAATTAATTCGTCGTTCGTCTGCGTAAGAAATAGAAATAAACCTATCGCATAGTTCGTTACGTACGACGAATTTCGTCATACGCAATGATTGTGTACATTTTCATATACCCAAGTGTGTTCTATTTCTGACGACGAATATTCGTTCCGAAAAAATTAGAGAGTTTTTCGTAAATTTTTAGAAAAAATAAGAATTTTATAAAAAAAAAAGAATTTTTCGTAAATTTTCATAAAAAGAGAATTTATCAATACTTTTGATAAAAAAAAAATTTAAAAAAAGGTAAATTTTTTTAATATTTATGAAAAAGGAGAATTTTTAAGAAATTTCTCAAAAATTTTATAATTTATTTTTTAAAACTTTTTAAAAATAAACGCGACCTCTTTTTGTAGAGGAAGCTTAACTTTTGCAAGAATGAATGAAAATAATATTTTGAATAATGTAAATATGTACTACAACTTGTTTCTTCTTTCATTGTGTGTTTTAACATGCTCATTCGTAAACAATCGTAAAGTAATCGTGTTATTCCCCGTTGTTGTGTTGAATGATTTTTTTGGCAAAGTACACTGTTGCCAACTTTTTTCCCAAAAATATCGCTAAAGTCGACTGAAAAATAGCTAGAAAATAGCTAAATTCAAGACATTTTGAAAAATTTAGCGATAAATCGTAAAAATAATATTTATTATATGATTCTGAAAAGAAATAGCTAAAAAAACTAGCTAAATTTTTAAGATTTTTTATATTATTCTAAAAAGTCAGCGATTTATCGCTAAAATCTATATGCATACGTAGGAATGGGATAGTGATACAAACACATCTTATAACAAACACATAAGAGAATCTTTTTTTATGTTAAATATTTTCACTTTGGGTTAGAAAAAATGTCAAGTTGAGGTTAATTTCGATATGCGACCCTATACAGATTGCTTTAGAAACGTTGTAAAGATAAATTGAATTTCGAAATGCTGGCCTTTATGGATCGATCCTTTATTTTCGGCATAAGAGTATTATTTATTTTTCCATTACAATACAATTACAAATTATATTCTAACCTAATTTACCGAGCAGGGTGACGATAACCATACGACCGTTGTAGTGACCAGGATCTCTGCTGGGAATCGAACCCACAACACCCAGACTGACAGGCTAGCACACTACCAACTAGCCTACCGGGGCACCCAAGATTATTATTATATACTCCTTTTGTGTGAAGTTTATCTGCAATATCGATATGCGGCCCTAAACGCCTTAGAAATGTTGCAAATTTTTAGGACTTTATGGATCGATCCTTTTGTCACTTATTTCCAATGTTCACTAATTTTTAGAATTATGTTAAATTTTATTATCATATCACTCATTACTAAAAGACTAGAATAATTAAATATTCGTTTTTTAATTGAGTACAACAAAATATACCCCTTTTAAAGTTTTTCGTATAACTTTACCTGTACGCACAAATATTTGCTCCTAATTATGTTCTTCAGAACATTTAAAATAATATACATTGAATGCATATTTTTATATACATACATATATGTAAATATCGTCATTAATGCCTTAAAATCTAAAGAAAAATCGCTAGATTTCCCGCTAATAGCTAAATCATATTTTTCCCCGCAAAATCGCTAGATTTGACGAGAAAATAGCTAAATTGGCAACAGTGGCAAAGTATCAGTGGTTAACAGTGTTGCCGTTGAGTAATTTTAATAATATTGTATATTTTCAGATTTTTTTTGCTTATATTTCAAAAGATTGTATAATTTGATAAATGTGGATAGATATGACCTATTCCCATCTTGGATTCCGTGAGAAAACAATAGCTCATCTTTTAATACCAGAAACGAAACAAGCCGATTTCGGAAACCGTGTTCTATGGTCATACGTATCAGACGGGATAAGGAGTGAGACAAAACTTCCTAACAAAATCTTTCTAAATAATATGAATGAATATGTGATAGATAGATAGATAGATAGATAGATAGATAGATAGATAGATAGATAGATAGATAGATAGATAGATAGATAGATAGATAGATAGATAGATAGATAGATAGATAGATAGATAGATAGATAGATAGATAGATAGATAGATAGATAGATAGATAGATAGATAGATAGATAGATAGATAGATAGATAGATAGATAGATAGATAGATAGATAGATAGATAGATAGATAGATAGATAGATAGATAGATAGATAGATAGATAGATAGATAGATAGATAGATAGATAGATAGATAGATAGATAGATAGATAGATAGATAGATAGATAGATAGATAGATAGATAGATAGATAGATAGATAGATAGATAGATAGATAGATAGATAGATAGATAGATAGATAGATAGATAGATAGATAGATAGATAGATAGATAGATAGATAGATAGATAGATAGATAGATAGATAGATAGATAGATAGATAGATAGATAGATAGATAGATAGATAGATAGACATTTAGATATATATATATAGATAGATAGATAGATAGATAGATAGATAGATAGATAGATAGATAGATAGATAGATAGATAGATAGATAGATAGATAGATAGATAGATAGATAGATAGATAGATAGATAGATAGATAGATAGATAGGTAGATAGATAGATAGATAGATAGATAGATAGATAGATAGATAGATAGATAGATAGATAGATAGATAGATAGATAGATAGATAGATAGATAGATAGATAGATATATAGATAGATAGATAGATAGATAGATAGATAGATAGATAGATAGATAGATAGATAGATAGATAGATAGATAGACATTTAGATATAGATAGATAGATAGATAGATAGATAGATAGATAGATAGATAGATAGATAGATAGATAGATAGATAGATAGATAGATAGATAGATAGATAGATAGATAGATAGATAGATAGATAGATAGATAGATAGATAGATAGATAGATAGATAGATAGATAGATAGATAGATAGATAGATAGATAGATAGATAGATAGATAGATAGACATTTAGATATATATATATAGATAGATAGATAGATAGATAGATAGATAGATAGATAGATAGATAGATAGATAGATAGATAGATAGATAGATAGATAGATAGATAGATAGATAGATAGATAGATAGATAGATAGATAGACAGATAGATAGATAGATAGATAGATAGATAGATAGATAGATAGATAGATAGATAGATAGATAGATAGATAGATAGATAGATAGATAGATAGATAGATAGGTAGATAGATAGATAGATAGATAGATAGATAGATAGATAGATAGATAGATAGATAGATAGATAGATAGATAGATAGATAGATAGATAGATAGATAGATAGATAGATAGATAGATAGATAGATAGATAGATAGATAGATAGATAGATAGATAGATAGATAGATAGATAGATAGATAGATAGACATTTAGATATAGATAGATAGATAGATAAATAGATAGATAGATAGATAGATAGATAGATAGATAGATAGATAGATAGATAGATAGATAGATAGATAGATAGATAGATAGATAGATAGATAGATAGATAGATAGATAGATAGATAGATAGATAGATAGATAGATAGATAGATAGATAGATAGATAGATAGATAGATAGATAGATAGATAGATAGATAGATAGATAGATAGATAGATAGATAGATAGATAGTAGGTAAACCGACTTTCAAGGGTTCTCTTCTTTAATTCGTATTGTACCCAACTTCTTGCTATAGAACGAATAGGGACTTATGGACTGATAAAACTTGATGGAAAAGAAAAATCTGGGTCCAAATTACGGCATACGACATCGATCGAAATCTCAATAGAATCTAAATGGAGATTTCGATCGATATCGTATGCCATAATTTGGGTCCTGATCAAGTTTAATTCACAGATGGGTACAAACAAATAAATGCCCTCTTTATTTGTGATAGGGAGTGCGTTAGGAGAAGAACTAAGGGATTAAGAATTTTTTATAATATCGGATAGCCAAGCATCACTCAAGGCCTTATTGTCATACGAGGTAAGGTCGGGTGTTGTAATGGACTGATTTCACTCAATGAGTTATATAAACACAACCGTACTACCGGGAGGGATTACTTACTGGACATTGTGGTCTCAGATACCATCAATTCATTCTAGGCAACTCTTCAACGAATCTACAAGATGACACCTCAGAACATATCTTATGTAACTGCCCAACATTAGGGTCTCTCATAGCTAAGATCTTGGGTGCTGTCTGGCTAACCCCAAAAGACATCTTCAACCACTCACCAACTAAACCAGTTACCTTTGTGTGGGAACTAAAACTTGTATAGTATAACAAA